ACTTATATATGAATGCATGTATATATTTAACTGTATAATAATTAGACGTGCATGTCAAGACATAAAAACAAACGTTAGAAAACATAATCTCAAGACAAATAAATGAAATCAAAACACTTCGCACATGCACACCTCTAGGGTGACCCTCACTTGTTGCCTCAGATTTAAACAGTCATGTCCCTCGAACGTGAGACGCTTTAGCAAAGATCCTTTGGTTAAAAGATCGTAGTCCCTCGATGACCCTTCGATGCTGTCTTGGTAAACGATCTTAGTACCTTATGATAATTGCTATATTGTCTTACGAGTTACCTTCGTGACTGTACGATGACCCGCGTCTGTCCCTTAAAATATCCAACGATAGAGCTTCCTACTAACTAATGGTAGGATATTACTATCTAAAGGAAGAGGAAAATAACGTAAAAGACTTTTGAGTAGGTAGATAGCTTTTAACTGCTTACTCACAAAAACATCATTTTTTCACACAAACACTCTTCTAAAATATTTTCAAAACAAACACTTTGTATGCGTTCTCAACGATATGAGAATCCTTACAAAGTTTGTCGAACTTAGACATCTTTTTTCAAAATATTATTCAAACACAAACATAAAGCATTTTCAAAAGTGAACTAGCGATTAAGATCCCGTAGAGAACTACAGATGAAAAAGGTGCTAATACATTCCCTTTTCATAACCTATCCCCCTTACTCAGAAAAATTCTCAAAAACTCCTTCCTGTTCTTTTCACCCTTTTCTTTATTGGATAAAAGAAAAGTCACTAACGACTTTTACTATCCACAACATTTGCGATAAACGCAAAACCTAAAAGTCAGTTCTCCCACCGTATTACACACTTTAAGTACAAATTCTTTTTATGTGTAACGTAGTTAATTCCATTAGAGTGAGAATTTGATGATAACTATAGTTAAATGCTGTCAATGTTTTTAGGTTAAAATTTACGTATATTTATTTTTCTTTTTGCAGGTCTACAGAGAACTAAATATTTCCAAGCACATGTTGCTATGGACTATGGACTTGCTGACAAAATAATGAACAAGGAAGCTTCATATGAGAAGCTGGACTTTAGGTAATTACATACACAAAAACATTAATATCTCTAGAGTTTCTATCTTTGCTCGAAGTTATCTATAATGTACTTATGTTACTTGAATTACCGGTACTTTATTTCAACTAAAGAAAATTAATAGGCCTAGGAGATTATTTTCTTAAGTCGTAAATGTCAAACCATTATAGAATAATATTTCATGTTATGTTGTGATTCAAATAAGCTGAAGCAAGGAGACAAACCATATTATGTGCCACAATAGTAGCCGACATTGAATATGAATTTGTCATGTTAATAACATAGATGTTTGTAATAGGTAATGTGGTTTTACAAACATGATTCAGTTCAGGGAGTGAATACAAACATTCAAACATTTTTGTGTTGACTATTTGTTGAATTTTTAAACTTGTTGACTTTTTAAAGTTTGCTTTTTTCATCGGTGTAGTCGAAGCTAACCCATTTTATTGACTTTACAAAGTCAACTTTAGCGTCGGTTAAGCCGAGGCTAATATATTTTATTGGCTATTGTATTTTAACGTTAGTCTCAGTGAGGCCGAAACTAACATATTTTATTGACTTTTCAAATTTGATTTTAGCCTCGGCTGAGTCGATGCTACGTTATTTGTTGACTTTTAGAGTTTGACTTTAGCAACAGTCTGACCTAAGCTATTCAACTTTTGTTGACTTTTAAAATTTGAGTTTTTAGCGTTGGCTTTATATTAGCCTCGGCGTAGACTCAGTTAAACTGACACTAGGTTAGGCACGACCTTAAATGGATGACGCTAACATGTTACCTTTGAGTCATTTAGACTGCACCTGACACAAATGCTAAAGCCACCGTAGCGTTGGTTTTTGGTCGTTAGCATCGAAAAATGGCCGACGTTAATTACTATTTTTCTAGTAGTGTTCCTTCTTACAGTAGTAAAACATAATAGTAGAAGCATCACCACCATAAGACATCTGTGGACCTTTACCCTTTTTCTTCTCAAACTTCCCATCCTTCTTCGAGAATTTTCCTTTTACCAGAAATCCTTCACCAGCACATGATGTTTTGTGCTCCTTTCTTTAGTTCAAATCCTTCAAGTACAAGACTGATTGAACTTTTTCAAAGGTCAGGGACCCTCTTCCACACAAGAGGGTTTCTTTGAAGTGAGCATGAGATCTTGGTAAAACACACAATAATAACACCACTTGATCTTCACCATTGATGGTAACCTCAATATTCTCTAGATCAAGAATCAACTTATTGAACATATCTAGTTGTTTAGTCAAGACTTTTTCTTCATTCATCTTGAATGAATACATAACTTGCTTCAAGTAGAGGTGTTTGACCAACGATTTGGTCATGTACAAACCTTCGAGTTTCATTCACACACCGACTGCAATTTTCTCCTTTGAAACCTACCAAAAAACCTTATCACCAAGGCTCAATACGATGGCGTTGTGAGCTTTCTCTATCATTGTCGTTTTCTCCTTTGTTGTTAAGGTTGCATCAATATTTTCTGATTCTTTCAACACTTCTAACAAACCCTATTGAACAAGAATGGCTTGCATCTTCAAGCGCCATAAACTGAAATCATTCACTCCAGTGAATTTCTCAATCTCATATTTTGTTGACAAAATCTTCCCCTCCACGCTCAGCACACCAGTTTGTTGTGAAAACGATGAACATAAAAACAGAGTATGATCAGTTTCTTTATCAGCAAGAAAATCACAAAGTGAGAAAAAAGAGAAAATAGAAAAGAGAGACGGGAAAAGGGAAAGACGATTCAAAGTAGTATAAAACCCCGATTTCTTGATTCAATTACACATTAGAGAATAATCTTTACAATTGAATCTCAACCACACCACTTTCTCTTTGACTTTGACATAATTTACTACAACACTACCTTATAACCTATAAGCTACACTAACTTGAGTGTTATATTTTACTCTTACAAGTCATTCTCTAATACTGGCGAACCATAAACACCATACATAAAATCTCACCGCATTAATCATCTTGAACCTTTCACATATTCATGTCCCGTTTAAAATTCAAACAAATGTCATATGTTACCTTAAAACAAACACATCCTTAATCTTAGCACATACTATCCATTAAGGATGTCAACATGGCATAAAATATTCAGAAGATGCTTCATCACTCTCCGCTCCACCCCCAAATTTATTCCTCATCTCCAATCTTCGCCACAGGGGAATATTTCCCCCCATCCTCATTCCCTCAGATCCCCATAGAGGTTCACAGAGATCTAATCTTAAGAAAATTTCTATACTTTTCGATCAAAACTATGACACTAGAATTTCGTTATTTTTTCCTTAAAAAAACATATATTTAGCATCCTTCTTTTTTAAAAAATAAAAATACATCTTACATTAATAATTAAAAAAAGAAAAAGCACTTGTAATTGCTAATATTTTTCTATAAAAAATAATAAATATTAATGAAACTTATTGCTACCATGTTTATGCTAATTTACTACCATAGTACTGTCGTTGTCCAGAACAAGTGATTGGTTATGTGTGAGTATGATAACTGAATGAAATTTGGTTAAATACATTCGTATAGGTTTACTGGTGAAATTTGGTATAGTTACCAAGAATTTGAGCCCCAACACCAGTAAACCTAGGTCCATCAGCTCAACATTCGTATAGTCGAAATTTTCAGTTACCAAATTTTGACTATATGAATGTTCAGTTACCAAATTTTGACAACTGGAAGAAATTTGGTTCGAAAAAGCAGTATGAAGGGGATCTTGTGAAGATTTCGATGAATGAAAAGCTAATAAGAGTTTCATTTTTCTAAGTATTGGCGTAAGTTTCGTTTTTTGAACCATTGAAACTTATTTAGTTGAAGTATTATCAGAATAGATACTTCGATCGTCATGTTTATATTTGGCGTTTCGAAGACAAGAAGGTTTTCAAATTTGAAAGTTTGGTCTTATCCAAAGAGACGCATGGAAGCCTGAAGAGATTCAATGAACATGCAATAATGAACATGACATTGTTTTAGTAATAGACCGTTAGGGTCGAATTAGTATAAATATGAGTCTTAGCAATAAGATTCATGTATTCACATCTTTGTACAAATTACTCTAAATTACTCAAAGTACAAGCGTTCGAGAAATGAATTATGAGAATGTACGCATGATACACCAATTTTATGTTTATTGCCATTCAACTTTAATTGAAGTTTTATACATTTCTTTTAAGTTTAAGTCGAAAGCCTTTTACATATCAGTCTTTTCTTTAAAGCATTACATTACTACATTTGAAGTAACAATAAAATCAGTATCGTTTAAAAGATTAAGAATGCTGTCGAAAGTATTATTTGTTTTCATGAACAAAAGTTTGAATAAGAACACATGTCCTTAGGATCAATTCAATCAATCCTGCAAGTCATCAATCTTTTCTTTGATTTGGAAGACCAGCGGTTGTTTACCAAATTTCACGGTAAACAGAGTGTGGCAAATCCATAACTACTAATTTATTAATTGAATGAAAAACATGTTACTAATGGAAGTAAAGTGAATTTGAAGAGTAATTATCATAAGCACAATGAACAAAGGAGAGTGATTGTTGTGATGATGATGAGAACATAGGAGATGATGAATGGAAGAAACAAAGATAATTAATTAAAAAAAGAAAAGGAGGAGACGATGTGTACATTCTATGTATTAGATGCACTTTTCTTATATTAAAGTCAATTTATTTTTGGTTAAAAAATTTCAAGTCTATGAAAGATTAAAAACACAAAATGAATGAAACCAAAAAAGGGGCTAAAATAACAACACGTATATAACATTCCTAGAACAATGTCTAATAAACTAAACACGTCATTTTAACCACAAAACTAAACATGTCACATGGATTGAAAGAATTGAACTAACATAATACAACAAAGTCACACCCTCTTCAACGTTATCACACACTCATCCATGGAAGCCAAACTCTTCGACCCCCCACCTCTCCGTCTTCACCTCCCCTCACTTTCTCCACCCCCCACCAATTTCACCCCCTTCCCCCTCCGCAACAACCACACTTCCTTCAAGTCACTCGCTCACAGTTCCGTTTCTTCACACACCGACCCCATCGAAGATAATCAACTATCTCAATCTCCCAAACCTGTTTACTCTCCCACACCCCCCAATCGTCAACTCCGTACTCCTCACAGCGGCTACCACTTTGATGGAACTGCTCGGAAATTCTTTGAGGGTTGGTACTTCAAGGTTTCCATTCCGGAAAAGAGGCAAAGCTTTTGCTTTATGTATTCTGTTGAGAATCCTGCGTTTCTTAAACCCTTGACGAATTTCGAATTGGCTCAATATGGACCTAGGTTTACTGGTGTTGGGGCACAAATTCTTGGTGCTGATGATAAATACATTTGTCAATATTCTCCGGAATCACATAACTTTTGGGGAAGTAAGCAAGTAGTTCTTGTGTATTCTTGCATTATTTGTGTTTTTTCTTAAGTGGATAATTATCACATTATAATTTGTTTTTGGATGCTTAGGCAGGAATGAGCTGATGCTGGGCAACACTTTTGCTGCCAAACCGAATTCCAAACCTCCAAACAAGGAGGTTCATCCTAAGGTAGGTTTATATATTAATCTTTCAATCTATTTCTCTATGTTTTGTTAAGCACTTATAACATGAGCGTTCATCATATAATTGATTATGTATAAATTATTTTTATTAATAAAAGAAGCTTCTCTAATACAGAGGTGAAAGTTGGAGAAATATCATCCCTCAAGTCATACGGTTCAAATATTTTGGGTCCGTAATATAAAATGATGGAGAAATAGAAGGGTATGTAAACCATCGAATTTAAGTTGGGTGACTGAAATGGAGAAGGACTTGAGGTGTTTTATGTGACACGAAAGTACACTCAAGGTAAAGGGAAAATTTTACTTGACTGCTGTGAGACTTGCGATGTTGTATAGGACATAATGTTAGGCAGTTAAGAATCAACACGAGAATAAAGTAAGTGTAGCAGAGATAAAGATGTTGCGCTTGATGTGTGATAAGATTAGACATGATAGGATTAGAAATGAAAATGTTAGAGTGTTGGGGTAGCGCTTATAATAGAGAAGATGGTGGAAAATAGATTTAGGTGGTTTGGGCATGTAGAGAGAATACCTGTAGATTTTATTGTAAGGAGAGTAGATCTGATGGAGAGAAGTCAAACAACTATACAAAGAAGAAGGGTATTAAGAAATATCTTGAGATTAGCGATTTGGATAAAAGTGTGATTCTTAATAGAACATTATGGCGAAAATTAATCTATGTAGCCGACCACACTTAGTGGGATAAGGCTTGGTTGTTGGTTGTTGTTGTTATTTTTACAATAAAAGATAAAATAAAGTTAAAACTGTTTTCATATATCTTATAATTTATAAGGTGTTTTCTTATTTCATAGGTAATCCTTGATACTCTTGCAGTGGTGACTTTTTCCTTAAATTTCAACACTTTTTGACTAGTTTGGCAAATGGTTTATATTCTGTCACCATCACATTATTGATTACAAAAGTCGGTTCTGGAAACAAGTCTTATTCTTCATTTCCATTTGGTCACTTTGCTTAGGAATTTAATGATAGAGTGTTGGAAGGCTTTCAAGTCACTCCCCTTTGGCATCAAGGTTCCATTTCCGATGACGGAAGGTAGGAGTCACATTGCATTTTAAATTTGTCTTCTTTGGTTGATTACATTTGTTATTTGACACAAATTTTAAATATAGGTCGGATTATGTAGAAACAGTAAAGACGGCTCGCTGGGAGTATAGTACACGTCCTGTATATGGTTGGGGTGATGTCGGGTCCACACAAAAGTCAACTGCTGGCTGGCTTGCAGCTTTTCCTGTTTTTGAACCGCATTGGCAAATATGCATGGGCGGTGGACTTTCAACAGGCATGTGCTATCATGGTCTAGTAGCCTCATTTTTTATGTCTGAACTGAAACAGATTGGTTTGATCAATTGATGTGAAGCTATTATGGCATTACACTAATATAATTTGCCAAAGTGATCGGCATTTAGCCTCTTGCTATCTACAAAATGTTACAGACCATTAAGATTGTGGTATTGAAGATATATAGTTATTGCTAGAGCCATGTGGTGAGTCAGGAATAGGAAAGAGAGCGTATGAAAATGATCATTTACATGATCAATTTTGAACTAAAGCTGGAATGCTAAGACAATGATCGCTCTTATTTGTAATGTGTTCTCTTTCATTTTTCTTATGTTAGTATTGAATCTCAGGTTGGATAGAGTGGGATGGCGAGAGGATTGAGTTTGAAGATGCCCCATCTTATTCAGAAAAGAACTGGGGTGGAGCATTCCCGAGAAAATGGTTTTGGGTAAAAAGCACTCTTTCTTGACTGAAGTATATGTCATAGAGTTTATCAGCAAGTCTCATGGCCTTTTATGAAACTTCAGCTATAGCTTGCATGAAATCTATTGCAAACCTTGTATATTGGTTTAAAATTATGGTCGGAATGCTGTATTTTCTTGTTTTATGGTTACTTGAATTTTTCCCGCAGAAATTGTAGATTAATATTATGTTATTATTATATTAATGTTCAATTTATTCTAACCAATATTTGGACGAATGTTTGCATATATTTTTTTGTATCTCATATTGTTGATTTCTCATGCAGGCTCAGTGTAATGTTTTCGAAGGTGATAGTGGGGAAGTTGCACTTACAGCAGCAGGCGGATTGAGACAAATTCCCGGATTAACTGAGACATTTGAAAATGCTGCATTGGTAACTTCATACGACATTCAACTTTCAATTTGACTCATCTCATAGATCTATTACACAAACTATATGTAGTATGAAGATTACATTTGAAATAAATGTTGGTGGTAATAAGAATGGCTAAAGGACAAGGATGTGAAGTTAATCTGATTGTTCTTTTTTTGAGGGGATTAGAATAGCATGTCTCTTTGATTTGACAAAATCTTAAGCGAGAATGAGTTGTTAATTGTTATTATTATCGATTTGTCCTAACTTTTAATATTTACTATGCTGCAAATTGACAGATTGGAGTTCACTTTGGTGGAAAGTTTTATGAATTTGTGCCTTGGAATGGTGTTGTAACCTGGGAAATTGCTACATGGGGTTATTGGTTTATGTCTGCAGACAATGGCAATTATTTGGTAAATATTTCTTTCCAATTATTTTATGTTGGTGATTAATATTACAACTAGTATAGTTGGCAGACTCAAATTGTTATATTCTTGCAGGTTGAATTAGAAGCAACAGCAGATGATTCAGGTACTACGTTACGTGCTCCAACCTCAGAAGCTGGCCTTTCCCAAGCTTGTAAAGACACATGCTTTGGATATCTAAAATTAAAATTGTGGGAACGAAGATACGATGGAAGCAAGGGAAAGGTGTTTCTCTTATTCCTACATAAATTATTCACATACTTTGTGTTTGATTTGATTATTGGAACACTCTCATGAATGTTACGCGTGAAAATCGCAGATTATATTGGACGTGAAAAGTGACATGGCAGCTCTAGAAGTTGGAGGAGGTCCATGGTTTAACAAATGGAAGGGAAAGACATCAACTCCACCTGTTGTTCAGCGTGCTATTGGATTGCCTATAGATGTAGATAGCATCTATAATCTGTTTCCTCTGTTTAAACCACCTGGTTTGTAGTAAGTGGTTTTAATATCCTTCTTGTAAAACTTCTCTTGGTGCATGCAAGTGTTCTCTCAGAGTTTCATGGTAAGTACAACATTTTGAAAAGGATTCATGATTAGAAGAGTACGATGTTAATACATAGAAAAGATCAAATGAAAATAATCAAATGTTTACTTTATAAGAATGCTTATGGAATTATTGACTTGTGTTTGGTTGGAGGAGAGAGAAGAGTTTTTAAAGGTAATTAATATTCTTGGGTCCTCTAAAAATTGTTATACATGAATCAAACATAGGTTTTTCTTTGATGGAAACTAACTAAGGTGTGTCAACTAAGTTACGTGAGATTTAGATTTTTTTTTTCAATTCACACACAAACATACATGGTGTTTTAACAATCACTAACTCGAATATGAAAAATGAATCGGGAGTTTCTTTGAGATTATGCATAAGTAAAAGTGTCTTATGACTTGATTTTTTTGCCTAGTGTATAAGATTCAAATTTTACTAGGGCGACTCGTAGTTTTGAACTATATATCTAACATCAAAACACACACAATCTTTTCTTAGGTGTATTGTTAAAAGAATGATGCATTAAAGACACTACATATCAATCTCGATTTAGTGAATGCTCTAGGAATTTTTTCTTAAATTTCATAGGAAGCGACTTCCACCTTCACAAATGTGAGTCTATCAAGAGTACCTATGAAGTTAGATATCCTACTTCACATAGATTATAGATCTCATTAAGAGTTTACATTATCTCCTTTTATTGCTTTAGAAATCATGCCTATTTTGATCTATTATAGCATGCTCACCTCACATCACAATTTGTTATTTACCATCCCGTGATTCACTTTTTCATAGGCAGAAGTCTCATCTTAATCGATGTGTTATGGACTTTCTCTCTATCTAATTATTAAGTTAAATGATCAACTAAACTTTCATCAGCGCATACAAGATTCACTCTTACAATTCTAGAAGAGAGTAACTCTCTAACATTATTGTATTCACGACATATTTGTCGTCTCTTACTACCGTTATATTATATGTTCTTGATTTATGCAATAGACAATGTACTATCACTATAGGTCAACACAGTTGGCAACAATTTTTCCTATACGGGAATCTCTTCTAGCAAGCATCTTAGCTAACTTATTCACTAGTTGCTACTATTGGTATCATCTCACACTCCATTGTAGACTGAGCTAATATTTTTTGTTTCTTAGATTTTCAAGACACTTGATCTTTCAGCGATACAAAATGTATAACCACCGGTTGTTTTGAGATCATTTAAGAAGATATTCCAATATACACGAGTGTATACTTCAAGGACAACATGAAACATCTGATAATGTAATCTGATTTATAGTTTTTTAGGTATCCTAAGACCTTATTAATAGCTTTATGGTGCTAATTACTAGGTCTGCTGACAAATCTGCACAATAGTCCCACGACATAGGCAATATTAGATCTAATTCAATCAATGACATACCCGAGACCTTCAATGATGCTTGCATATTCTGTCTGTCTTATACTTTTACCAATGTTCTTAAATAGTTTCATATTTGGATCAAATGGTTTACAAACAAGTCTGAAGTCAAAGTAATTATATTTCTTTAAGATCTTCTCAACATAGTAAAATTAATTCAAGGAAATTCCCTTTTAGGACCTATTAATTTTAATACCAAAAACTACATTAGCTTCTCTGAGATCTTATATATCTAAGTTGTTAGAAAACAATGATTTCACAACATTTACAACATGAGTGTTTGAATTAAATATGAATAAGTTGTCTACGTAGAGACATATCATTGTGAAAATGTTATTATCATACTTACAATAAATACAATTATCACTTTCACTCACTTTGAATTCATTTATTATCATTAGGTGAGGGTTTGCTTAAGATCTTACAAAGTTTTATCTAACATTTAGACAATAGTTTCTTGTCCATGAATTACAAAACCTTCAAGTTGTTTCATATAAATTTCTTCTTCGAGTTCACCATTTAGAAAAGCGATTTTACCATCGATTTTATGTACTTCTAAATTATGAATAGCATAAAAAAATTAGTACCCTTATGCTAGTGATTCTTGTGATTAGAAAAAAGTGTCAAAGAAATTTATATTTTATTTTTACCTAAAATCATTGACTATAAGGAAAGCCTAGTATTTTTTAATAGTTCCATCAGATTTTAGTTTTTTTTTCAAAATTCATTTACAATCTATCAGTTTGTAACTAGAAGACAAGTCTATTGAATGTTGAGTCTTGTTAGGGAATCCACCTCATCATTTATAGCCTCTTACCATAAATCATCAACCAAGGAAGATAAAGCTTCTTGAAGGTTAGTTGGGTCCATCTTCTAATGCATAAATATATAATTAGGTCCATAATCTTTATCAAATCTTTCTCTCTTACCTCTTCAAGGTTCTATTACATCTTGATCGATGTTCTCATCACCGCTTATGATCATTGTGTACTAGTTAATTGTAGAGCCCCAACTATTTCTAAATTTAAAGGGGAATTAATTTTTATAGATATATGCATCGTTTGATTCTATGTATTGATTAAAAGTTCCTGACTGAGTTAAATGTTGAAACAGACTCTGATACAATGTATGTTTCAGAAGTTGTGAACTTCTTGAAAATATGGTTAAATCAAACTCTGATATACATATTGTTCAAAAGTTGTGAACTTCCTGAAAGTAAGGTAATCATGTGTTGATAACACCTATTGTTCAGAAGTTATGAACTTCTTAAAAATATGGTTAAATCAAGCTCTGATACACCTATTGTTCAGATGTTGTGAACTTTATGAAAGTAAGATAATCATGTGTTGATAACACCTATTATTCAAAAGTTATGAACTTCATAAAAATATGGCTATTCAAGCTCTGATACCCCATACTATTTAGAAATTATGAACTTTCTGAAAGTAAGGTAATCATGTCTTGACAACACCTTGTTTTCCGTGAAATTTGATAAACAACCGCCGGTCTTCCAAATTAAATCAAAATTAGTAACTTGCAGGATCGACCAGATTGATACTAAGTACATGTGTTCTCATTCAAAACTTCTATTCCTAAAATAAAGAATATTTTCGACAATATCTTTATTCTTTTAGACGAAGATTATTTTAATTGTAACTTCATAAATAGTAAATTAATGCTTTTAAAGAAAAGTCTGGAATGTAAAGTGATTTCGACTGAAATTTAAAGAAATATATAGTTTTCAATAAAAGTTGGACAACAATAAATATAAAATTGGTGCACCATACGTACATTCTCACAAACTTGTTTCTCTAAACACTAGTACTTTAAGTAATTTTGAGAATTTTGTACAAAGATGTGAACACACTGAATCTAAACACTAAGACCCTATTTATACTAATTTCGACCAAACAGTCTCTGAATAAGATGTTCTCGCGTTCAACATTTGCATGCGCCTTCGAATTCTATGTCTCCACGCGTTACTTTGGATAAGATCAAATTTTTAAATTTGAAAACTCTTTGTCTTTGAAGCGCCAAACGTGACGGTCGAAATATGCTTAATGACATTTCGAATAACTTGAAATCTCTATGGTTCGCGTACGAACCTTTTGTCAATACTTAGGAAAAACAAAGCTTTTATTAACTCTTCACCTATCGAAAGCTTCATACAAACTTCTTTATTCTTTCTTTCGAATTATATTCTCCAAAATATATCATTTCAGCTAAAATCCATGCGGTCGAAATTTTCAGTCAACAAATTGCCTCCAATAAATGTGTGTTTTGAATTTCATGGAGAAACATATATTTATTGCAAAATAATTATATTTCGACGAATATGCAATCCTCCTGATAGATAATAACTACTATGACGTCAGAACAATCATGACTTATTTTTTCAAAACGTCTAATCAAGACGTGCGTGTAGCAATTTCATCATTTGTTATAAAAGTAGGTTCTCAATGAGGCTTTTAAACAAATAAACTCTTTATCAGCTTATCATAGATAACCACGTGTTCCACTAACTTAAAATTTTTAAAATATAAACTGAACAATTTCCAGCTTATAAATATCATTCTCCTTCTCCAAACACACTTTTTCATCTTCTCAATCTTCTGGTTTTCAAAATTTTACACTCTTTTTCTCAAAAAACCTTCAAACAATCAAAAAATTGAATCTGTCAATCATGTCACCATCCAAAAAAGGATGCAAATCCGACAAAAATGTGAAGAACAAAGAAGTGAAGATCACGAATGATGTTGCATTTAAGCCGATTCATCACATCACAAAACCCATTCTTGTTGGAAATCAAGAACTGGTTCCAACACCACACATTTCTGCTAAACAACAAGCAATTTATGCTTCTCAGGTAATAATTCCTTTTACCCTTACTGATAAAACCCTAGGATATATGGGTCCTTTGATATCTTCTAACTTTTTAGAGCAAATCAAGAATTTTTTCCTGTTTACTATGATACAAAACCCATTTTTAACAAAGCCAAACCTTTTAAGAAGAAAGATAGCCACCTTGATAAGAAACTAGCGGAATCATCTGTAGAGAAAACCCAAAAAGATATTCCCTCAATTACTGTAACTGAAGATAAATCCTTTCAGTTTGACTATGTAATTGAAAACTTCAGAACTTTTAGGTCTTGCCATGTAGCAGATAAACAATATCTCGCTTGGCTGGATAAAATTAAAAAGGTAAAATCCCAAGCCTGGAAAGACTTAGGCATCTTCGACTTGATCCAAATGTCGAAATTAGGTTTTAGCTATTGCCAACCAATGTTAATGTCCTCATTGTACTTCTGGGATAGTACTTACAATACTTTCCATCTCCCCCGTGGAATGATAACTTTCACTCTCTTCGACATGGCCGCTATCACCGGACTCCCCCCACTAGAGAAACTTTTGATCCTTATCAATATGATACAAACACCATCAATTTTAATGTCGACAATGCTGCCTTCACCAAATACATGAATCTCTATCATGTTGAAGGAGATGGAGTGTCTGATGTTGAGCACAT